ATATAATTGAGTTATTTCATGGATTCATATCAAAAAAGTAATGTGAAAATAAATGTACTATGAAATATATTATAGAAATAATTTAACAGGTTCTAATTCGATTTTGTCATACAAATAACTAGAGAAGCATCCTCACAAAATAGAACATAATTTTACTTAATACACTCAAAAAATATATACAAAAAAACTGTAATTACATTTAATTTATTATGTTATAAATGTTAGATGAAATCAAAATCATTATATAGGAAAAAATGATTTATATAATTAAGTAGTCTAAATGCACATAAGGAGACTTCACAAATTACTTATAATGCATTATTCTTATATAATATGCTTTACACAGTGGCACAATTTATCAAAGATATTGAAAATATTGCTCAATATAATAATATAAATATATAGAAAACAATGAAATGTTAACTCTTGAAATATACGTACTAAATTGCTATATATAAAATTAAAAAATGAAATAATAACTCACATATACTTTAATATAATCCTACATAAAATTATTATAATAATATATTTTAAAACTATAATTGTTCAACCCAAAATATGTAAATCACAATTGAATGTATAACTCTCTTTACAAATATATACTTATGTAATAATATATAAAAAAACAACCTTAATGAAAAACTATGAAGCATTTTGTTAATATATTAAGAAAAAATAACTTACATTAAATGAGCAAATTTTTAGCTAAAATAATGATTTTTTGTTTTGTTCTAATTAAAACACACTCAAATATATATATTCTAAAAGGATGACATGTTTATTCACGTACACAATTAAAAAATATTGTATAAAATAATTAAAGCAAATAATTATTTTTGCAAAGTTATATTACGAAAGATCTCTTCTTTTATAAAAAACAGTACATACTATTCAACCCTGATTTTTATGCACAAATTTATACGCAAACTAAAACAAAATAATTAAAAATGTTATAATATATTTATATATTGTTCTCTCTAACAAGGACAAATATATACATTTATCGGTATTTACTCATAATATAATCATATAAATATTGTTCAAGGAATATTTGTAATACATTTTTTAACACATGAATCTATTATTCATTGATGGAATAATTTAAACATAAATCAAAATAATTACTAATTAGATAGAAATACAATTATATAAATTTTAGTGTTATATATAAAAGATATTCATATATCATATTTATAATAAATTAATAAAAATTTAGTTCATAATAAAATATATATGACTTTATATATTTGCATAATAGAATCTTTTTCTAAACATATCTTTGTTGAAATCATAATATTCCTTAAAAAACATTTTTTCCTTCTTCGCCTTTAATTGTTCATATTTTAAAAATTTCCCCATTACGTAAATAATGAGGAACAATATTATAAATGATAATATTACAAAGAATGCAATATAAATATATGTTACTTCAACGGGTATTCCTGAAACAGATAAAATAGATTTATATCCACCAATCCATACACCACCCTTCCCATCTTTTTTCGGAATAATATGCTTAGTGGTACTATCTATCCTATCTAACACAGGTAAAATTATTCCAAGTAAAGGAGCTAGACATGTAGCAACAATACAAAGTCCATATTTGAAATATATT